AATCTCTTTTGGGAAGAAACGAACGAAAATCCGAGTCATAAAGAAAGGCACCTAGAAGACAACATGGAACACACCATGTGAAGAAAGAAGACACCTTCAATAAAAAAGTGACACACTAATTCAAGGACGCGGACCCAAGAATATGTGAATACAATTGAGCATCCACCTACTGTCAGTGGAAGCAATAATAAAGGGTCTCAACCCTCTATAAAAGGATGCTTGGAGGAAGCAGAAGGCATCATTCATTCTCTTCAGCTTTCTCACTATAATAAAATCTTTGTAATAGTTTGTAATATGTTGAGCGTTAAGGGTTGTAATTTTATTTTTCAAAAATTTTATGTGTGTTTGTATCTACGCCTCTACTGTGAGAGGCTAAAAGTAATTTCTCTTCTCTAAAGGAGATTACTTATGCAATAAAATCTCTTTGAGTTCATTATTAAGAAAAGAGCTTTTGATTCACAACATGGTGTCATAATTTTTATCTATCTTCATAATTAAGTTCATGTACGCCTGGAGTAGGAAACAAACCAATGTTGTGTTGAGTGGTGTATGAAGGAGTCGGATAAGTTTCCATTCATCTTCCCATAGGTGAAGTTAGATGGTGAGTCCGTGACACGAACTAGGGGCACTATTTTTCCGACTGTTGGAATTGTAACCCATCTCACCTCGAACCATTTCGGCAAAAAAATGTACGAAAATTATGGTGTTATTTAATTTTATGGAAGCATGTTGGGCCTGATATTATCCAATTTATTCTGGGTATTCTTTAGAGTAAACTCAGGTACTAAGAGACAAAGTACTGCTATAAATAAAGTAGATACTATTATCTCATTAAAGAGGTACAATTTTAATGGAACTTTGTACAACTTTTTTGAACTAAAATAAATATAAGGGTATTGTGGGAATACGACAAGTAAGGTTATTATTTTAATGCAAGTGAGACGGAGTAAAGTGGAAGAAAATGAGGAATAAGATTGAACAATAAAATTAGAAAATGTTAAAAAAAAATTAACTGAAAGTGTCATTATTTATATTTTATAGGCAACTGCGCCCTGGCCCAAGCCCATATGGCTCAGCTTCGACAGTGTTAAAAAAGAAGACGTCGTTTTAATTTAACGCTCACACACTATTGCGTATTTAATGTGATTTCCATTTCTCAAAACTAGTACGTAACTCGTGCGATGCACGAGTCTGAGTTTTCAGATGGCCTGTCTATTAGGTTTAAAAAAATAGAGTTAGATCATCTGTTTTACACCTCTTTTGATTATCGTTATTTTTTAGTCATAACGTTAAACTTCAGCCTATTAGCTCTAGTATGTAAATTAATTAACAGGTTATCTCGCTAAAACGTTGATACTAATATAAATTTGATTTTAGTATATATATTTATTCTTTAATATAAAAAGTAATAGTTTTACATATTCTGGTATAATACTTAATTTATTATTTTATCATAAAATTTATTGTCATTATAATTTTTTAATAAATATTTTAGAAAATAAAAAAATATTTATCTATCTACAAACTCATTATCTCCAGTTTGAAACCATAAATTTTATTCTTAAAATAAAATTTGGAAAATTTTAACTTGTAATCAAAGATGAATTTGAATTGATTTGAAATTCCTAATCCATCTCAAATTTATTTTGTGAAAAAAGGCTATCCAAAATGTTTATACCAAGAGTCCTAATATTTTTGAATTGTAAAAAGTCTTCATGCAAAATATCTCCACTGACTTTGGCGGACCACAATATCGTATTTGATTCAACAAATTAATTAATTTTAGGAAGTGAATAGTTGTGTATGTATATGGAAGAAATTTAAAAATTCAAATTCCAAAATCAATACCACAATATCGTATTTGATTAAACATATTATTTATTTTAGGAAATGAATAGTTGCGTATGAATATGGAAGAAATTTGAAAATTCAAATTTCAAAACCAATATCGTATGTAATGGGTTTATACCAAGTTCCCAATTTTTTCAAAATTGTATAAATCCTTCATGCAAGGAATCTTCACTAATTTGGGGACCAACAAATTACTTAAATTTAGGAAGGCATAAATTGTGTACGTGGATACTGTTTCTGTTGTATGTTTAAAGAAAATAAATTCAAAAATGGTATTGATATAAGATTATATTATGAGGGATTTAACAAAAATACAAATTTTTAAGACACGATTTGATTTGAATTTTTTAAATTAAATTCCACTTTTTTGGCCGTCTAAGTCAAATGATAATAAGGATTAATGTTAAAAAAAAGAAAAAAAATCCAAAAATAGTAAACAATTAATGTTGTCCTAAAATTTCTAGTTACTATTTATGGTAAATAGTAATTCTTATT